CTAGATAGGCACCCAGCCCAGCCAGCCTGCCCTTTAGAGCCCTCCTCTGCAAGCGCGGTTAGTGGGCGCCTCCCGGGCTCCCAGGGAAATTATGCAGATAAAATAACCGAAGTTCAGTTTCCCAGCCCAGCCTGCCAAAGCTGCAGACCTCTCACTCCCTGGCTCGGACCCCTCCCATCGCACCGAAAATGAAACCCTCCACTTTTTCCCTGGCTTCTGAAGCCACCGCGGACCTCAGGTCCTGCCCTACCCCCAGGTCCCAAGGCTGACCCTCCTCCCTTCCCCAAGGCCCCTCAGAGGCCAGCTCCTCAGAACAGCCTCCCTCAACCCACCTAACAAATCAGCAGCCCCCCCCCCCTTCTCTGTCCCGTTAAGTGGCTTTATTTTTTTTTCTTAGCACTTACCACCACCTGGCATAGCTTCCAGGTATTTCTTTACATAGCGCCTCCTAGCCTGTCAGCCCCAGCAGCAACCTGGTCTGTCCCCAGGTTGCACCCCCAGCACCCACATGCACAAAAAATAGCAACTAATATTTACTGAGCACTTACCATGTGGCAGGCACAGTTCCAAGCATTTTACAGATAGCAGCTCAAGCGATCCCTTACTCTGAGGGAGGTACTATTCTAACCTCACTTTACAGATAAGGTGAGGCACAGAGAAGTTCATTAACCTGCCTGAGGTCACACAGACAGGAAGTGGTAGAGAAAGGACTCACCCCGGGCAGGTGGGATGTGCTAGCCCATCCACCGCTGTGCTCCGTAACTGTGGTGAATGAATGAAAATAAGGCAAAGAGGAACCAAAAAGTTGCTCCGCCCCCACCCAAGCTGGCCCTGCCTTAGAGAAACCACTTGTCCCTGGATGGTCGGAGAGACGAAAGAGGCAGGAGGGGCTGCACCTGGCCCATTTTGACTAGTCACCCCAACAGACAAGTGGCTGCCTTTGGTTGCTTCCAACTGCCCCCCACCCCCACCCCGGGGTACGTTCTATCTAGCATGCTTCTGGGTGCTGCATTTTCTATAAACTGAAATCAAGAAAAGTAAAAAGGTGACCACTTGCTTTATTGCCGTGATCTGGAACCGAACCCTCAATATCTCTGAGGTATGCCTGCAATAAGGAATATGTGTGTGGTCTTTTCTCTGTTCCCATTTCACAGCTCCTAAAACCCTTGCAATTTCCTAATGAGAGGAGCGCTGCGAGCATCTTTTGTTCTAATATTTATTCTGTGTTCTCGTATTATGAACCAGCTCCAGAGCCACAGAGGTGAAACCAGTGTCTGTTATTTGTATTAAACCCCTTTCCACCACACCTGAGTTTATTTGTGCTAATATATGACTTTTGAAAGCCCCTCAGGACGGGGGCCGGTTGCCAAGGAAGCCATCCGGGTGATTAGAGGGTTGGAACTTTCAGCCAACCAGCCCCCTACAGCTGGGTAAGGGAGAGGGCCTGGAGTTTGGGTCAATCACCAACGGCCAATGATTTAATCAATATGCCTATGTAATGAAGCCTCAAAAACCCCCACAAGGATGGGGTTCCGATAGCTCCCAGGTTACTGAATGGGTGGAGGTGCTGGGAGGGTGGTGCCCCCGGAGAGAACATGGACCCTCCGGCCCCTCCCCACAGAAACCTTGCCCCACGCACCTCTTCCCTCTGGCTGTTTCTGAGTTGGGGTTGTCTCCTTGGTAATAAACTGGAAGTCTGGTGAGTGAACTGTTTTCCTGAGTCCCGGGAGCCGCTCTAGCAAATTAATCAAACCCAAGAAGGGGGTCTCGGGAACCTGTGATTTACAGATGATGGGGTAGAGGCCCAGGGGCAACCTGGACTCGTGACTGGCCTCTGAAGTGAGGACGGTCTTGGGGGACTGAGCCCTGAACCTGTGGAATCTGACACTGTCTCCAGGTAGATAGTGTGGGGGCTGACTTGCTTGGTGGGGGGGACACCAGTTTGGTGACCACAAGTGTCAGAAGTAGAAGATGGAGCGGAGACATGGGAAGTTTTCCTTTCCGCCCCCTCACACCGAATCTCCTGTTATTACCCAGGTGTATAGATGGGGAAACCGGACCGGGAACCATTGGGGCAGGAGAGGGGGTGGTTAGCGGTGGAAGCCACTGGAAGGGGTGTGGGGAGGTGGAAATACACCTGGCCTCGCTCTCCTCCCATCCCTGTCTCCAGCTGGTGCCACCGGGAGGGCAGACCCCACTGGAAGACTGAGGGCAGGGTCTGGGCTTGGGGTCTGCACAGGGCAGCCTCCCGGGCGCAGAGCTGGGCGGATGGTGGAACTAGAGGGGCGTGTGCAAAACAACCAGCACAGGGCTGGTCTAAAAACAACCTGCACAGGGCTGGCCTGTTGCTTCCACTCCGCCCTTCCCTCGCCAGCCCTCAATGCAGCCAAAGCAAGGGGGCTTCGGGCGGGATCGCCCACCTCCTGGGAGAGGCCATGAGAGCCACCCTTCCCCCAGCACCGGAAGACGTCTTTCCCAAAGACAGATCTGGCGGCATCTCCCCACTGGCTCCAACTTCTCGGTGAGTCCCTCTGCCCGCTGCCCATCTTAGCCGGGGTCCTTTGGACCTGGCTGCTCCTTCCCTCCTGCTGCGCCCTGGTCCCCGGGAATGTTCAGCTCCTCCCTCCCTTCCGCAGGCCTCTGTCCAGTCCCTTCCCTGACCCCCTGATCCAGAAGGTCTTCCGTGTCCGCTTCATGTTCATCACCTGCTGCTGTTTTCTCACTGTCGCTCTCCCCACTTACTTTTAGTAGCTGCTGCATACCAGCACCTAGAGCAGTGCCTGCCGTGAACCACGGGCCCAGGAAACACCTGTCCCTTCAAATGTCGCGAGCTACCAGAATACGTTCGTGGTACTTACAGCCACAAAGCTGAATGGGACCAGCAGCTGCAGAAGAGGCACAAGGACCGAGATGAGGAGGAACCAGCGAAAAAGGCAGGAGCCCTGGCCAGCCGGGGTGGCTCAGTTGGTTGAGCACCATCCCGTGCACGGAGGGGTCGCCAGTTCAATTCTTGGTCAGGGCACCCGCCCAGGTTGCAGGCTCGATTCCCAGTGGAGGGGTTTAGGAGGCAGCCGATTGATGTTTCTCTCTCATCGATATGTCTCTCTTCTCCCTTCCGCTCTCTCTAAAATCAATAATAATATATTAAAAGAAAGGAAGAGGCAGGAGTCCCTCAGAGGGCAGGAGAGACAGGTCAAGTATAAAACAAACAGGAGGTTTATTTTTAAGCAAGAATACAGTCGAGGATTCAGTGCAAACTCTCATTGTCTTGGGATCAACAGCCGGGGACCTGGGCTCCATCCAGAAAGGGTCTTCTTTTCATTCAGGGCTTCCCTGCTCCACCCGGGTGATGGCGATGAGACCTGAGGGCCTCCCACAACTGTCCACCAGGAGGCAGACCTGCTCCACGGCCACGCAGGGTCCAATCGGGCAGGGACCCTGGCAGGTCCAGACACTAAGCACATCTTGATTCCAGGGTGGGAAGCCTTTCTTGTCTCCATGGTAACGGCTGGACTCTCCGACCCTCTAAAAGTTCAGCTGCAAAGTTCAAGTCCAGTGGAACTTTTCAACAAAGGATCCAAGTACCAGGGACCCAAATGGCTTCTCAAGGAGCCCCAGTCCCCTTCCTTCCAGAATCTGGTGAGACCACACTGTCCACCCTCTGCAGGGTGTGGACACGTGTGTTTGGGGGGAGTGGGCTGCCACTTTAATAGGTAAGAACCCCTTTGGCAAAACGGTTGGCATCAGCTGTTCCACGAAGGCCCTTCAGCCCAACATCAGCTACACAGGCCCACACAGCACATGACAGACACACAGACGCACACTGGCTCTCAGCAACTCACATCCACTAGGGATCGCGACAGGCACAGTACTAAAGGGGCCCTGCGGCTCCCCTGGGGCCTGGGACTCCAGGAACAGCAGGAGGAAGTTGGGGGAACAGGAGCACCCCTCGGGAGTCAAAAGAGGAAGGTCCAGGCTGAGGTAGAGGAGAGAGAAGGCTGCAGGAACTGGGCAGCCCTAGGTCCTGAAATTCCCTGATAGGAGGTGTGGCCACGGAGCCACACAGCAGCCACGGCCACGGAGGGAGGGAGCGAGGGAGGGAGGGAGCGAGGGAGCGAGGGAG